AGCACATATAATTTTACAAAATGTGTCTTACGAAACATTTCTGCAAGATCAGTAGCCAAATCTCAACATCCTCTGGCTACTGGCATTAGAGATGCCACAAAGATTAAATGAATGCTTGTGGATGAAATGCAATTTTAGGTAAATTAGAACTTTCAGCCTCTTTAAAGCACCAAATTTCCAACACATTTCCCTCAACACAAAACATGAATATCGGCCAGCACAACAGTAATACAATGTTTTGCCATGCTGAGTCCAGATTTGTGTACCAAGCTCTCCCTGTGCATGCTGGACTCGTGCATGCCTGTGCCAAAGGCTGACTGAGGCTGGGGCTGGGTTATGACATGAATACCATGGTGGGGGTGGGATGCCTGTCTCTTTCTCTCTGTCTCATGGAAGAAGTAAATAAACTAAAACAAAACAAAACCAAAACCAAACAAACAAAAAACAACTTGATATCAAGTCAGAACCAGGGAAATCCAGGGTAGAAAGAAAGCCAGAGGGGCCAGCAGGTGGTGTAGTGGTTAAAGTGCTGGACTCCCACATGGCCAACTATGATTTGACTTCCAGGCCTGATGGCTTTCTCTTTCTTTCTCTCTCTCTCGTGAGTACACATGTCCTATAGCAAATTTTAAAATAATAATTAATAAAATAAAAAATAATTCTTTAAAAAAATCCACAAAGATGGGGCCAGCAGGTGGTGTAGTGTTTGGGGTCGGATTCCACATGGCCGACTGCAGTTTGAGTCCCAGTCCAGCACCTTAACCATCACGCCCTCTGCTGGCCCAGCCTCCTTCAGTTCTTACCTTCCGAGAATGTCTGCCATGTTGAATGTAACTGTGAGAGTCTTAGGCCAATTTGATCCAAGACGATTTGAGATGCTGTCTCCATTCTATCTCAGCCTCTGCCGTAGAGTGGTCTGGATACCACAGGGCCGGCATAATTGGGTGGACTTCTCACCTAGAGGAGGACTGTTCCTTAAATCTTGGCAGAGGCTTTTTTGGGAATAAGCAGCTACCTGAAACTTCCGAGCAACCATTTGTGTGAGCGAAAGTAACCATGTTGTTGAGCTCATCAACTTGATTTTAACCATCCCCTGCTGGAACTCCAGAGACTGACTTCTGGCCCTCCAGGAGGAAGGAGGGCAAGACCACTGCCAACACCTTGAGGAAGGGCAGTTTTTGTTGCCATGCGAGGCTGGTGGGCCTTCAGACGATGCCTGAAACTCTTTGTCTAGGGACCTTTTGTAGGAAGCACTGCTTTTAAAAAGGAAATGAGGAACTTTCCCAAACGATAGCTGCCTACTCAGATTTTGATCAATGTGGCATTCATAGAATGTAGGAGATTTTTGCCTTGGAGTTTTTCACACCGGGCTTTTGTATCTTAATTTTTGGCCGTGTTGGTTAGGGAGTGGGAGTATGCCTTTTTTCCTCCCAATAATTATAGGAATTTATACTTTAGAGGGTTTAGCTTTCTTTTAAGAATAATTGCAAAGATCCATTTGCAAAAAGTCATAAAAAAATAGATTTGTGTCTAGGCATTGAATGCAAGGGCCAAGGTCTGGGCTTGGAAAGTAGCAATTAGACGGGTTTCCAGTGGACTTTTTTGTTTTTATAAATGTGTGCTGTTAGCACTGACGTTCACCAGCCTTTAGTGCTCATAAACGGAGTGCCTTGCATGCGTTCTGGGGGTGGGGAAGAGTAGTTTTGCTTTTGTCACGGTCTTCAAAAGTTCAGCCCACGCTCCTCATTTTTGACAGTGGGATATGTTTTCATGAGACTTTGAGAAAGAAAGGAAGGAGAGGCAAGATGAGGGAAGCCACAGAAGAGGCATACAGGAAGGGCATGCACATGGTTGTTCTAGTGAAGCATTTCCATCTTCCAGCTTTGGCCCTTACTTCCTCTCCTGGCTCTGGTTCCTTCTCCAACAATGATGTGATTTTTATATCTCTCCTCCTTTCCTTAATCAGCTGTATAATGTCCAATGACTTATTCTTTTTTGGAGAGAGAGAGATTTTTGCTATAGGACGCATGCGCTTATCAGAGAGAGACAGAAAGCTAGAAAAGCTACCCAGGGCAGTGGGGGAGATGGCCATGCTGCAATCCCTTCTTCTCCGTTCTTCTCTCAGAATTTTGGGCATGTATGCACACAGCCTGGTGTGAGGTTCAAACTACCAGGTCTGGGACTTGGACCGCGGTTGACCATGTGGGAGTCCAGTGCCTTAACCACTATGCCACCTGCTGGCCCCAGTGACTTATTTTTAATCCTTTTTACATTTTTCTTTCAGTATAGTTCTTTCTGTTCCCAACCCCTGCACCTGACCAATAAATGCACGTTGAGTATGCACAAGCAGGCACACACCCACCCACACACGCACACACATACACACACACATACACACACCAGCTCTCTCAAACAGTCCTAGACCATCCTTCAGATGTGTCAGCTCAATTTAAGGAAGTTTCAAGTATACCCTAAAAGGAACAACACTGGGGATTCTTGATCAAATTTGCTCTGTATCCGAAGATACCAGCTGAGGGCAGCCTCAGATGTTCTTTCACGCTATTGCTCGGATTTGTTTGTTTGTTTGTTTGGTTGCTTTGAGTTCCACTCTGAGCCCACACTGGAAATACTCAGGCTGCTGGCTGTCCCCTGAGAGGATGGCCCCTAATTTTCCTACTTAGCATCCTGATGCTTCTGATGGCCCTCCAGCATTGATCATGGATCTGCCCAACTCCATCCACACAGTCCAGTCCGTCTTAGTAACTGACAAGCTATTTTTGACAGCAACCCACCTTTGGTTCTTGGCTTGATGGGGTAGAGGCAAGCCGGGCAGTCCATGTAGATACATATTTTCTCAATTTTTTTTTTCTGTAAGTCACATGCACTATGTGCATGGAGAGACACAGAGAGAGAGAAGTAAAATGAGAAATCACTTCCCGGTGGGGGAGGACGTCCATACTGCAATCCCTTCTTCTCCTTTCTTCTCTTGGGTTTTTGGGCAGGCACATACATGTCCAACACTTATTTAAAACCACCAGGTCCAGGGACCAGCAGTTAGCCTAATGACTATGTAGATGGACTCCCATGTAGTTGACCACGGTTCGAGTCCCAGACCTGGTGGCTTAGACTCACACTGGCCATATGTGCATGCGTGCCCAAGATCCCGAGAGGAGAATGGAGGAAAAGGAATTTGACATGGCCATCCCCCCTGGGGGTGATTTCTGTCTCTCTGTCTTTCTGGTGAGTGCATGCGTTCTATAGCAAAAACCTCTCTAAAACTCCCAGGTCCAGGACTGGAACCACACAGTCGGCCGTGTGGGATCCAGCCACCCCAACCACCACACCAATGGCTGGCCCCAGTGCAAATATGTAGCAGATGGCACTGGTCTCCAAGCAGGCTAAGCATGTCTCTTTCACATGACCTCTGCTTTGCCAGCTTGGCTCCTGGGGGCTGAGTTTTGTTTTGGTTTTGGTTTTTGAGACATGATCTCATTCTTGTCTAGATCTTCCTGCTTCAGTCTCCCAGCAGGGATGACAGGCACAAACCATCACAACCAGCTCTTTTTTAAAAAAAATTATTTGTTTAATTTTATTTATTCATTCATTTATGTTAATTTGACCAGAGAGAGACACACACAGAGAGAGAGAGAGAGGGAAAGTGAGGAAGCAAGCCACCAGGTCCAGGATTCAAACCATGGTCAGCCATGTGGGAGGGTCCAGCACCTTAACCATCATGCCACCTGCTGGGCCCACAACCAGCTGTTTTACATACAGGTCTTACTATGTTGCCAGGCCAGCTTCAAGCTCACCATCTTCCTGCCTCAGCCTCCCCAAGTTGCTGAGATTACAGGTGCATGCCACTGTACCCAGCTTTTACGGTGGACCACCATCAAGCCTGGCCCTCCCATGCAGCCTGGGCCGCACAGCATCTTAGAAGCATGCACCCCTTGGTTGGGCTTTCTGGAGATTTCTTTTGAAGGCATGTTGACACTTCTTGCATGGTTGGGTACATGAGCGTGTATGGACATAAATGAGCTACACATGCACATCTACATGTTTACATATATGTGCATACTTGTGTGCATGAGTGGGGTGGGAGGGGAAAACCTGGGCAAGACCTATTTAGGTATGCTTCATGACTAGTCCTCAGATACAGAGCCCTGGTGGGTGTGGCAGCAAGGTTAGAATGGGCATGCATGAAGAGAAGACAGGCAAAGACAGACTGGTGAATATTTGTAAATGGTTCATAGCACGTCTTAGTCTGACACCTACAAACTAGGGAGTTTTGTATTCATGTGCACTTTCCCTTTACCACCTTAGTTAGTTAATTTGTTTGCTGTAGGGTGCATGTACTCATCAGAGAAAGTGAGATGTGGGATCCAGCCATGTGGGATCCAGCCATGTGGGATCCAGCCACCTTAACCACCATGCCTCTGGCTGGCCCAGCACCGTATCCTTAAAACAAGTATATGTTCTCCACTAAGCTGCAACAACTTCATCGGTGTGGAGAGTGCACACTAGCACTGGGGTCTGTGCTCAGAGGTTTGTGTGCATTCATCAGAGAGCCTTCACATTTCTGGGTAGACATTCCCCACCGTACAGACGGAGAAACCAAGTATGAGAGAAGTTTAATAATTTGACTCATTTCTATAGTACCAAGTGGCGTAGGCGGATTCAAACTCGGTTCTCATCTAGAGCTTGTGCAGCATCAGGCTGCTTCTGTGAGCACAGGGTCTATTTACTAGTCCTTCCATTCGCTGCAGCTTCTGGTCCAGTGTTTCACACACAGTAGGTGCTCAATAATTATTTTAAAAACAATATGCACACAATAAATGCTTGGTAAGAACTCAGGGGGAATCTATTTCAAAATCCAGTTCTCTGATTAAAGGGAAGCTTATTATATCACTGGTTAAGTTGAGGCTCCAGAGGCCTCAAGCAGTTATTGACTGGCCCCTGAACCAAGAAATTAGCTGCATCTTGAATTCTTCTCTTTCAAACAGAAAAACAGAAGAAGCTAAACTGAAAAAAGGGGGACTCAACCAACAACTTATTCTGAGCTACTATAATGAGCCTGAAAGCAAGGAGGAGAGCCAGGATCTTGGCAGGTCCCAGAGTTTCTGGAAGGAGCTGCTGGAAGGGAAGTCTCTGGTGCAGATGCCAGCTGTCAGGAAGGCTGACCCCATGATGAAAAAGTTCCACTATGCCCTGGTAGATGGCTCCTCTCTGACCTAATATCCTTGAGAAATTTCCTAAGGAAGAAGGAGGGTGGAGGAGGTACGACGAAAGTGGCTGATGGATGAGGGTTTCCATTCCATAGAAAAATTGCAGAAAGAAATGGGAAGAGGTCTCAGACTTACGTTTGACCCTATCACCCAAGGGTCCACATTCCCTCCCGCTGGGGGCAGGAGAAGTCAACCTGAAAAGGAGGATCGGGCAAGTTTCTGGTTTACAAACCTCCCTTCTTCCGTAGGGAAACTCTGCGTATAGCCAATGTCTTTGCTAAGTACCTGAGGCCTCATTTTGTTCTGAGAAAATGAGTTCTTCCGGGCTCATCTTCCTGATGCCTGGAGAGAATCACGTGGAGATTTAGTAAGTACAGAATGTAGCTCAGAGGGAAGAGGGATTCGGTAACCGACTCCTGCAAATCCAACATGGAAAAGGCTTCGAGTCCGTCGTACTTTTGCAGAGGTTGGTACAGATAGGTTTTGTGTCATTGTTCCCATCCTTGCAAATAGCCTTCAGCCTCCTTTGCCCTTGTCTGTCCATAGAGGTCGGTGGGCAGATCTGATCCTCCAGCTCCACACAAGAGTGACTTCACTGTGTAGTCTGCGGTAGCAACTAGTAGCTTTGGTGTCTTGGGACTCTGCTATGAACAGGACCAGTCTGACCAGACTCCCCTGTTATTATTCAGACTGGTTTCAAAGAACTGGAGGCTAAAACAAGGGTGCAAGGAAGTGAACATATGGGAAAAACATGAAGCTGGAGCCAGAAAGCCTGTGTCCTGCTCTAGTGCTACCGTTACCAAGCTCAGTGACTATAGGAAAAAGAGTCACCCTCTCAGGACCTCTGGTGCCTTATGTGTAAATAGCTGATTTAAAATACAAAGTAGAATGTATGTATGCAAGTCAATGTCTTCCTATATAAGAATTATGATTAGCCTTACTGCCTTTATCAGTATCGGTTCCTTAACCTGAGTGTTACCTATCCTTCTGGCCGCCTGGCTGTCTGCCAAAGCTACTCTGACCTTCCTTGGGGTGGTGTGTACACCAACATATTCAGTGACTTGCCGAATCAAGTAATCCTTGGGACCTTTACGCCTTTTGGATGCGGTAGCATTTCTTTACCTAATAGGTATGTGACATTTCAAACAAGCCAGAATTCGTGGGTGAGCAAAGAGATAAGGAAGAACTAAATCCCACCCAAGGGAAGGGCAGAAAGCATTCTTTTTAGCAGTGAGTCTAATTAGAAAAGCAGGTAAGGAAAATATCCAAGGCTATTCCTGTAGACATGCAAATTAGCACAGGCCAAAAGACCGTGAGTCTTGGTCCAGTTGAGCCACCCACATGGGAGTGCTGTGGCTCTCAGAAGCAGAGAGACCTGCCCAAAGACAAGGCCTCAGGAATGCACAGGTTGGGAACTGAGGCAAGGGGACTGGTCTTTAGGGTGTCAGCTGGGCCTCCCTGCCACTAAAGAGCTAGGTAACATTGGCAAGACCCGCATTCCACACCCCATGGACAGTTTCATATCATCCTCAAGATATCTACAAAGTTCATGAAGCTTATAATCCCTGGTCTCCTCTGGCTTTGCCATCTTGTTCCTCTTGATCATGTCTCCCCACTACATCTTGTATCTGTGGGTCTATTTTTGCTCTTTTTCTGTTTGAGCAAATTGGGCACTTTGCTCCTTTCCTTGATTTTCACACATAGAAATAACTTGCTCAAGGCCTCTGTGAGGATTGCTGAATTTTATTCTTCCTTCCTTCCCTTCCTTTCTTCTTTCTTGTTTCTTTATTCGTGATGAACAGCATATGAGCACATCATTGAGTGAAGGAGAGAGGAGCACCCTCCCCAGGGTCTGACCACACCACAATATCCTTCTTCCAGTCCCCTAGCCCATTGGATCTTGGGCACTTGTGCATATGCCTGGTGTGTTTTAGGCATGACTAGTCTGGAGATCCAACCTATGGCTACCATGTGGAATTTGACTTCTCCTGAGCAGGGTATTACCACTGCTCCATTGAGCTGACCCTAGTGAAATTAAAAAAAATTTTTTTAAATTATTTATTTAATTTAATATATTATTATTATTATTTTAATTCACGAGAAAGAGACAGAGAGAGAGGGAATGTGAGAAAGCAAGCCACCATGACTGGGAGTAAGAAGACCATGGTCAACCATATGGGAGCCCAGTGCCTTAACCATCACACCACCTGCTGGCCCCCTTGTGGAATTTCTTGATGGTTTGGGTCATGGGAAATTTACAGCTTTAAAACCTAAATATTATTTTAAAAGCACATATAAGTATTTATTGTACCTACCCATAGTATGATTATGAGACCTAAAAGACAAGTTCATGGAAGTTTACACTGCATTATCATGGCAAAAATCTTCTCATATTCTTTATTTTTATTTTTTTAGAGGTTTTTTTGTTTTTGCTATAGGGTATGTGCACTCACCAGAGAGACAGAAAGTGAGAAATTACCCCCCCCCCGGGGAGGGGGTTGCTGGCCAAGCCATGATCCCTTCTCCTTCATTCTCTTCCTTGGATTTTGGGTAAACATGCACACACATCCAGCGTGAGTTTCATGCTGCTGGGTCCAGGACTCGAATCATGGTTGGCCATGTGGGAGTCTAGTATCTTAACCTCTATGCTATCTGCTGGCCCCATAAAGTAAGCCACTGGGTCTGGAACGTGAACCGCAGTCAGTCATGTGGGAGTCTGGTGCCTTTAATTGCCATTCCACCTGCTGGCCCTGCCAAAAATCTTAATTAAAAAAAAAAAATTGCTTTTCCTTTTGGCCGGAACTGCCATCTTCCAGTAATTAACCAAAATGATGAACACA